GTCGTTTGGGACTAAGACAACGAACTTGCCACACTACTCCAATGATGATCAACGAGCCTTGGATATACTGGAACACGAGACTAGGAAGTTGGAGACCGGTTACGAGGTCCCCTTGTTATGGAAAGAAAACGAACCATAGCTTCAGAACAATCGAGAAGTCGCGCAAAAGAGATTGGAAGGCTTGCAACGACGATTTGAGCGAGACCCACAGTATGAGAAAGATTATCGCAAAGCTGTCAGCAAGTATGTAGAAGACGGATATGCGCACAAAGTGGGTGAAGAAGACGACCTCAATGGACCAAATCAGTGGTATCTCCCTCATCACGGGGTATATAAGAAATCATCCGCCGAGAAGAAGATCCGAGTAGTCTTTGATGCCTCAGCTAAGTACAGAGGCAAATGTTTGAACGATGCTTTACTCCCAGGACCTGTTCTACAGAATGAACTTCCCCAAGTCCTCACAAAGTTCCGGGAAGGTGATGTTGCATTCGGAGCCGATATCGAGGCAATGTTTAGCCGAGTAAGATTGCAGGAACAAGATGCTAGATATCATCGCTTTCTGTGGAAAGAGAAAAACAGTGAGGTCATTGACACTTATCAGATGAACAGATTAGCCTTCGGTGATACCTCGTCACCATGCGAAGCAATTTATGTCACTCGCCGAACTGCTAAAGATCATGGACAAGGACAAGAAGAAGCTGTGAGAGCTATTAACGAGAACTTGTACGTGGACGACTATCTTGACTCTGCAGAGACTAAGGAACAAGCAATCAAGAGAGGACAGCAAGTAAAGGAGATCTTAGCAAAGGGCAACCTCGTTCCCAGGGCTTCAGTGTGAGGACGAGGCGAGACACGAGGAAGCCCTGGTCCGGGCCGGTCACGTGACGTTAAAAAATGGCAGTATTTGACAGCTACTCGTCAAGGAGTGGCGAGATATTCTTTAATGAAATATACAAGTCTTCGAAACAAATAAATAGCCAAAAGACTTCTCAATCGATATTATTTATGTGTAGAGCGAAGTTTGACACGAATCAGCTAAAATCTATGAAGATCCCATCTATGTTTTCTAAGATATACCGATATTTCTGGAGATTTTCAACTACAGGCAAAGCTCTGCATCCAAGCTGCATCTAGACGTCTCCATGCAAGTGGTGATTCACACGAAATTTCCTTTCTCTCGTCTTGAACAATATGGCTATTGCTATAATTAATATTTAGTTTAAATATGCTCTTAGTCTTATAGATCTGAGTTAGTTCAATATATTAAATAAACACAAATATAAAACCTCGCGTAACCTGTTTACGCTGTACAGGCCGGAATATACGGTTCGCTTGTTTCGCCGGACACCAACATAACACTTGCCGTTCAGGAGCAATGCTTGCCTACAAATTTTATCCCCTTCACAATCTTTGTTTTATTTTATCGTATAGTCGCAATTTTCAAGTATTCGGCGTATTCTGAAACTGAAAAACTGGGTGGCGTGCGAATCTTGTAGACTACATCGGCCTAGGCGTAGAGCTATTAAGTAAACAGGGCCTAAATTAATTTAGTAGTTTCATTTAATTGTTTGTCTTGCTTTTATTTGTCAGTACGGAATATTGTAAATTAAAATATTTATACTACAATGCAATACGCGTAGTATTTCATCAGACATCTGCACTAATAAATACTGTACAAGGAAATAGTAGACATTTCTTGTTTTGTCAGGAAACATCACAGCTCACTTCGACACGGCTTTTGAGTTTTGTAACCGGCCGAGGCGAAAGTAAATCGTGCAGTCGGGAAAACGTCTTACTTTGAAAGATTATTTTGCAAAGCATACTCGTACACACAAGAATCATAAAAAATACAAATGTTGAATTGTATTGTAATTTGTTATTGTCAACCGTCAAGTTCAGTTATTTTTAGACAATATGGTGTTAGCCAATCAGAATGCAAAAGTGACCGGCCCGGACCAGGGCTTCCTCGTGTCTCGCCTCGTCCTCACACTGAAGCCCTGGGAACGAGGTTGAGCAAAGGGTGATTTACATTTAAGGAAGTGGACTTCCAACATCCCGGAAGTAGTATCTGAGCTCGGACAGGAAACGAAATCTGAAGTTGACATTGTGACCAACCTTGTCGAACATGAACCAGAAAAGAAAAAAATGGAACACTGAAACTGACGAACGGTGTAAAATGGAACACTGAAACTGACGAACTTACATTTGCAGTTGCACCGGTTGAAGATGTGAGATACACCCGAAGAGGCCTCCTGAGCAAGCTGGCCGGCGTGTTCGACCCCCTTGGGTTAGCTTCGCCATTCATTATCAAAGCAAAGATCCTAACACAACAGTTATGCCTACTAGGTCTCGATTGGGATGACCCCATTCCTAATTCCCACCTGACAAAGTGGAAAGCTTGGTTAAGAAGGCTGCCAGAGTTAGAGCTAGTAAGTGTACCACGATGTATACAACCTAAGAAGAAAAACGGGATCGAGTCAGAGATCCATACGTTCTGTGATGCCTCGGAGGAAGCTTTCGCGGCCGTGGTCTATTTGAGAAGCATTTATGACGATGGCGACGTACGGTGCTCCTTCCTGATGGCCAAGACGAAAGTAGCTCCGAAGAAAGCTTTAAGTGTAGCAAGGCTTGAACTGCAAGCTGCCCTTCTAGGTGCTCGCCTAGCGAATTATGTTAAAGAAGCTATGACACGACACATTGACCGCGTGTTCTTTTGGACGGACAGTAAATGTGTTATCGGTTGGATACGATCTACTGCAGTTTGGTATAAGCCGTTCGTCGCCCACCGAGTTGGCGAAATCCAAACGTTGACAGACCCAAAGTCCTGGCGCCACGTACCTGGCCGACTGAATGTAAGTGACTGTGCCACCCGTTCGAGATTTGATGAGCGATCGGAATTGATTCCCGTGCGTTGGTTCACTGGTCCTGATTTCCTTTATCAAGGTGAAGATAACTGGCCAAAGGAAATGCCTGTAGAAGAGTTACAGCAACACGAAGAAATCAAACCAAGCAAAATATTCGTTGCCAAATCTAACCCAGAGCGTGTTCCCGTCTATGCTGACGTCGACTTAGAGCGATTTTCGTCCCTGTCGAAAGCACAGAGAGTAGCAGCGTTAGTTCATCGTTTCTTCAATGTATGTAAAGGAAAGAAACCAAAGAGTATTGTCGTAACCGTACAAGAATTACGAGTTGGACTGACTGCCCTAGTATGCCAATGTCAACGAGAGGCATTCCCCGACGAGCTCCAATCCTTGGAAAGAACGAAAAGTGTCAGCAAGCGATCAAAACTGTTGTCATTTACACCCTACCTCGACGAGAATAACGTAATACGTGTTGGAGGAAGACTTGACCGAGCTCAATTACCTTACGAAGTGCGACACCCGATCCTCCTACCTCAGAAACACCGTTTGACCCAGCTGATTATCGGGAGCTATCATCGGCTCGAAAAACACGGAGGAACTGACCACGTTTTGGCCGCAATTCGTCAAAAGTTCTGGATAATTCGCAGACGACAGGAAGTCAAGAGTTTCAAGAGAAAGTGCACCCAGTGTAAGAAAGAACGAGCGAAGCCTGGCAGTCAGTTACTAAGTGAACTTCCTGTCGAAAGAATAACTGCCATGCAACCAGCATTTTACCACACTTCTGTGGATTATTTCGGGCCAATCGAAGTCAAGTTGACTCGAAACACGAAGGCGAAGAGATACGGCGCCCTGTTTACATGCATGACGACTCGATGTGTTCATTTGGAAGTTGCTGAATCGTTATCCACCCCTGACTTCCTACAAGCTCTTCACAAGATGATGGCGAGGCGTGGAGAGCCAAGATCTATCTACAGTGACAACGGCACGAACTTCGTCGGCGCAGTCTCTGAATTGAAGTCGATGGTTAGAGAACTAAATCATAGTGAAGAACTTCAAACCCGCCTAGCTAGAATTGGAGAAGGAATCACCTGGAAGTTCCAACCCCCTGCAAGCCCTCACTGGGGAGGAGTACACGAGAGCTTAGTTAAGTCAGTCAAGACAGCACTTAACCGTACCCTGAATCCAAAAGGAGGACCAAAGAGAAGTAACCCTACAGATTTGCAGTTGTCCGCTCTCTTTGCCGAAGTCGAGCGATTCGTCAATTCACGACCGATAACATACGTCAGCAGCGATCCTGAGGACATAGAGGCTCTGACACCCTACCACTTTTGGTTACATCGACGCTCGCCAGTTGTCCCACTCGGAGAGTACAGCCGACCAAACTTTCAAGGTCGTTTCAAACAGACCCAGCACTTAGCAAATGTCGTGTGGCAGCAGTGGGTGAAGCTCTACCTGCCTAATCTCATCTCCCGGAAGAAGTGGCGGAACGAGGAAAGGAATATTTCAGTTAACGACGTTGTTCTCATAGCAGATCCGGGTCTTCTACGTGGTGAGTGGAAGTTAGGACGAGTTGTTGAAACATGTCCTGGAAAAGATGGACGAGTTCGAGCTGCCAAAGTGAAGACTAACAATGGTGTTTATACCAGACCAGTTACGAAATTATGTCTTCTCGAAGAGGAATGCGGATACGATCGTCGCCCCGATGAAATCGAGACGAACGATGGGGAGGAGTGATGGACGGGCGTTGAGAAACTTTATATGAAGTATGCGTTTATTATACTGCGGGCTCAAGAACAAACGTTGTCGTGACGTTTTGAGAGAACTGAGTTGTTTAAAAGGAAATTGGTCGTTTTGTACGCTGTTTTGGACGCTTTTGGATCGTGAAAACTTGTTATTATTGTCGATTTTGTATTGCTCTGTTGGCTGGCTTGAATCAAGAAGATTTGACTGTTTTTGAACGGTAAAAATGAGCATAATTTGACTGATTTATTTCCGTATATGTGACGGTCGTAATATTTTAACTTAGACAGTCTCAGTTTATTCATTTATGTATTGTGTAAGGTTAATAGGTATGTTTTAGTATTTCTGTATTATTTCGCTTTGTAAGTTTATGAATATTTGTCTTTTTAGCGTGAAAAATAAAACCGTTCGTTATTGTGAGTGGTGTGTACTTCATGTAACATTTAATATACAGTCCCCAAATACAAGTATTGAAGGCGCGTGGGTTGGTCGTCAACAAACATTGAAACGAGGCCCATAGGCGTGAACAAATATTGATTCAATACATTACCAATTAATACATTACTCAATTTGATTAAGTTCCTCAAGATATTCATACACTTTCTAGTATAATTGTAAACTTCCTGTTGAATGGTTTGAATGCACCAATCACCTTTTTTGTTTGTGCAACTAACCAATCATAAATAGAAAGGAAGTGACCAGAAATGATTAAATACTTGGAATTGGCTCTTTCACAGGAAGTGTATGAATATCTGGAGGAACTTGATGAAATGAGATGCTTGTGTGATGTTACTCTGAGTGTATATCCACACCGGGCAGGCTTGAAAAATATGCCTGGCCACAGTGGGATTTGAACCTACGACCTTTGGAATACTAGCCCAAATGCCAATGCTCTGTCAACTGAGCTACGCGGTCAGGTCGGTTTGAATCCCACTGTGGCTTGGCATATTTTTCAAGCTTGCCCGGTGTGGATATGCACTCAGAGTAACATCACACAAGCATCATATTCACAAATATCATGGTTATTAGATTACACTGATATCGAAGGAACTAGACTCAGTTCCGAAATATCGCATACTCGAACTGCCCCGACTGTATAGCTCAGTTGGCAGAGCATTGGGCCAGTATTCCAAAGGTTGTAGGTTCAAATCCCACTGTGGCCAGGCATATTTTTCAAGCCTGCCCAGTGTGGATATCCACTCAGAGTACGTAACATCACACAAGCATCTTATTCACCTGAGTAAATAAGGTATGAATCGCATAAAATGCAGATATCAAAATCAAACATTGTAACTCGAGCATAAAAATGTGCATATTTGTTTTAAAAGGCGATTGTTCCTTGAATGTTCAATGAAATAGTGCCATTGCCTTTTACAAGGAAGACCATTATAAAGAAATACACTTAACTTTTTTCATTGCCACCTGGTACTTAGTACAGATATCCCATATTTTCTTGATAAATTCATACCTGAAAGCGGAATACATACAGGTGTAAAAAACTTTAATGGTGATATAAGTGCTTTATATTCCAAAGAGTTGCTTTTCCCCACAATTTACTAATAGAATAAACTGGTATTAAAATCTCGAAAAAAACCTTTGTCACTCAGGGAAATTTATAGCAGTACGGTTTTAAACAAGCTATATTTGCTTAATTTTACTTGCTGGGGATTGTTATAATACTCGTGTTTTAAAGAATAATCTTGATAGTTGCAACACAAATTCACAATACAACAAGAATTGATAAATCATTTCAATGACTTACATGCTTTGTTCTCCATCGTCGATCAACTAATACAAACAACAGTCAGTACCTAAATCACTGTAAAATCAGGGGGGGGGGGGTTGAATTTTGTCGCCCACGGCCATTCGAGCCATGGGTCAGTGGAAATTGCCATGAAAATTGGTTGATTGTGACGCAGTGAACTCTAATAATAACTGGAATGCTAAGTCAGGGGGGGGGGAGTTGAAGCCGTGCTTGAAGCTTTTTTTGTAGATAGACCCAGTCCTTTTTAAATTTTTTTTTCAAAATATGCACATTTTTTGATCAGAAAAATCTTGCCCCAAAATATTAGTTATACTACCAAATTTAATTTATATCAGTAGTATGATAAATGAATTTAATATTCGCAAAGCAAACAAATCACGAATTAGCAAAAAAATGCGAAAAACACGACCATAAGTATGAACGGTCTGAAAAACCGCGCGTTTTAGGCTGCTTTTTCTGAGTTTTTGGAAGTTTAAGATAAAACTAAGACGTCATACCTCAGGAATTTTTTATACCCATGCAAAATACATCTGTATGCGAAGTTTCAAGAAGATTTAACGTTTTAAGGTCGAAAAAAAAAGCATTTGAAAATTGACAAAAATATTGCCATATTCAAAGTGCTCTTAGTGGCCAACAAATTGCCAACAAGATGCCGATGACGAAAATAACATCACTTGAAAAACGCCAATTTATTTATGTTTAAGAGCGACTAAAACAAGGACTACAAGCTCAGGATCAATAACAATACCTGGGGTTTAGTACAACATAAGTTTTGGGACTGTCAAAATGTTTTATAGTATATATTTTTTAGTTGAACGGCGAGATTTCCTTCGGCACATCCAAACTTTCGTCATTTTTTCAAAATACAAAAGCAAAATTCCTTACTTTTTGCTGCAGAGAGATGTAAAACAGTCGGAACTAATCGGAAACTTGGTTTAAATCCCAAGTCATTGTTGTATTCCCATGGGAAAAGTGTTTTTCTTGCAAATTTTTGCTCGAAAACAAACTTTTGACAGAATCTTTTTCACTCCTCGAAACTCTCCTTAGTCCTTTTGAAAGCTGATTTTCCCGCGCGCCGGCTTCAACGAATCATAGACTTTCATCATAGGAGTTAGCCTTCCAGTTATTATTAGAGTTCACTGTTGTGACGTCAAATCCGCCATGTTTTTGGCCACACACTTTCGTCGAGAGCACGATCTCCAGATATATAAGTATAGCTCAGTGGTGGTCATCCTCACTGACCTCAAAAATATGGCGGACTGTCATGAATAGCGAACACTGATTGGTCCAATTTAAAGTTTGCATAAACGACTGCGTCACGACAGCGAAATAGCAAACATTTCTTGGAGTGTATCCAGGCGGTGATCGCACTACGACCGCAATGCATCATGAGTAAAATAAAAATTCACTCATTAGCGTTCTGACGTTCGAGGTGAAAACACTGCGGCACGGCCGAGCGATGGGTATATAAAATTGTTTATTGCCCTTCTTGATTGAAAGAATCAACAGTGGCAGTACATGTCAAAGAACTTCTGGAAAAGTTTGTGCAGTCGATGCATCCTGCTGACTGCACAAAGCGTTGGCTGTGAGTTTCAAAGGTTTGGCGATGATCGCAAGTATGTTTGTTTTAATTTATTTATATGTTTACTTATTGGTTTGTGTAGTGTTTCAATCGCTAAACTTATGTATATTCTATTTACTTTATTGTTATTTATATGACTGTATTGTTATTATAATTATTATGCAAATGTTTCAGGGTTGTGGACATACGGTAAAAGTATGCATAGACACGGAAACTTTTCTGCAATATTATATTATTTAATACATATACAATATGCAAGCTACTGTAAAATTCCATGTAATTTTAGTTATGTTTTAATAGAATTTGCCCATCATTTTAGTACTTCCAATGCCATCATCGGTCACAATTTCTATAGTTTGACTACACAATCTTACCTAAAAACTATGGGATGAAAATCATAATCTTCACATATTTTGTATGCCATGCCAATTCAATTTTTGGTATGATCACAAATATTGTAAATATTATGCAGCATTGAAAAGAGATGTTGAGGGATAATAATGTGACTGAGGTGCTGTTTATATGATCTCGGGTAATAGAGACACTCTCTACCCTCTGAGCTACCCTGGGAGAGGCAAAATTATATTCATTATATAACATTTAAACGCAAGTGTTTATATGGAAAGTTTTCAACTCGTCTGGGCTGGTAGGGTCACCCTGGCAGTAGGGACACCCTGCTTACAAAACAGGGTTACCCTTGTAGGAGGGACAACTTTTGTCCATGTGTTTACATGTTTATCTCGGCTTCCATGGAGTCACAATCTCGTACTTAGAGCCATTCTCATAGGAAGAGATTAAATGTGCAGTAAAGTTGTCTCGGGTGGGGATTGGGTGTCTCTAGTATCCAAGATCATATAAATACAGTAGCGCCTAAGTAATAAAAAATCATTGCAATGGCAATTTGCAGCTGGCAGAAAAACACCTTGCATAACAATATATAGCCTCCTGCGCAGACGTTGTTAGTGGGCCGAGGGGTGAGGCCTCGGGCCACTAACAACGTCTGCGCAGGAGGCTAAACAATATATGGAGCGTAAGAAAAATGATGTGGTTTAAATTGAACCACATACTATCTAGTTTTCAAGAACTTTGTTCTAGCCTTCCACTCACTAGAATTTACCCAAAAAATTTTTAAAAAATTCCAAATCCTTACACTTTGCCTATACCCCTCCCCAGAATTTACATTTTATTGGTGCACGGGAATGTCACAACAATTTATAATCCATGCCAATGCCTTGCTAATCAGACGTTTGATCAATTTGTTTTGCAAAATTCAAATTCCTGTTTTTAAATGACACCCCTTTTATGTACAAATGCATAAAAAATTATAGAGAGTAAATTGGAAACTAGTTGTGTGCAGTAAATAACAATTTGTTATTATCCACCTTTCAGCTTTGCTGTGAAAAAGATATTCAATTCAGTACATAATGGCGCAATATGAAGCAGATGCACAAATTGCATTTATTGTGAATAATGGATATGCTGGTTTTGCCAGGGCTCCTCGTCCCCAGGCGCTTCGATTTGAGGCTGCGGTTTTGCAGTGTCTGAAGATTCAGACCTTGTTGTATAGAGCGTTTGCACTCATT